TCCCCTGAGTGAGAGTTCACAGCACCAACTGTCGGACTTCACTCACCGATCTTCGCCCCTTGCAGCAGCTTCTCGTCTGCGCCTTCGCGCATCTCCACGACCGTCTGTTACGTCGTCATGTCTTCCGGTAAGTGTGCTTCCATGCCTCATTGGTCCCTTCTCCTTCGCTAACTCTCTCTTCTGCAGACAGCAACGTTTTTGTCGACCTCACGTCCTCGCCCGGTTCGTCTCCTCGTTCTGCTCCGCGCGGCTCTCTTGCCACCGTGTCGACCATCGAGCTGGCCGATCCTTCGTCGGACCTTGCCAGCGTGCGGGCCTCGCTTAGCGCGCTGCAGCAGTACGTTGATCAAGTCGAGACACTGCACGAACTTTGCTCGGATCATGAGAACCTGCGCCGCAACTTCCTAACTACACGACTTTGCGCGAAGGATCTGGATCGTCAACTCGCCGACGCTGCCAATGCTGCGTCGCCGTATGTACTCTTCTGTCAGCGCAAATACGACTTGGTTCGCCACCAGTTGGAATCCACCCGGACGAAGCTCGCCGAATGCTTGGATGCGTTGCAAGAGCGTTTCGACAATTCTCATGAGCTTGAGGCTTGCCGCCTTCGGTACCGTGACTTGGAAATCCGCTACAACGAAGTTGTGTCCGAGTTCCTAGACCGGATCTGCACCTTGGAGGCACAGCTGGCTGCCGCCTCTTCCTTTGACGTGATCGTTCCGCCTGATACAGGTCGCCGCATAGCAGACTTGGAGTCCCAGCTCGCGCGGTCTCAATCTGATTTACAAGTCCCGCGGGACCGCCAATCTGCCCCCGCTTCTCGAATCAGCTACGTCCCGCAAGGCCGCTCAAGCCGAGGTAACTCGTCTCGAGGCCGCGATCGAGCATAAGACCCGTCGCCTCCGTACCTTGCGTGACAACTACGAGCGTCGCTTGAGGGTGGCCGACACCACGATCACAACCCATACAACCGAGCTTGGCCGCTTGCAGGATCGGGTATCGACACTGGATCGGGATCTCCAGAAGGCTTCTCAGCGTGTTCAGGTGGCAACTTCTCAGCGCGACCAAGCTAGGGCAGCGCATATCGCTACCCGTGAGTGCTGTCTGCATACCTTTTGTCGGCGTCGCACTGATTTGTATCTTGTGTCACAGAGGATCGTGTCTCAGCGGCTCGAGATACTATCGCCCGGCTGGAAAGGCGGATTAACCAAGTCGAGAGGTCTCAGAAGTCGCGTCAGGACCTCGAGTCCGTGCTCGCAACGCTTCAGCGGGAGAGAGACGCTCTGGCGGTTCAAAGAGATGAAGCTCGGCCAGCTTGGCGAGCGTTTCATGGAGGGCACCGATCTAGGGGCTGAACGGGACCAGGCGCAGGAGAGGTTGTCCAACATTGCATCCTTTCTCCCTTCCGCGCCGGGCCACAAGCGAGCACGCTCTGAGGCCGAGTCTCCAGCCCAGTCTACCCGTGTCTCCAAGGCTGCTCGATCCACTTCACATCTCTCCCAGGCTAGCACTTCGAGTCATGCCCCTGCGTCTGGATCCTCGATCGAGGTTCTGTCTGCCGTGGCTGCCGGCCAGAAGGCTAAAGGGTCGGTGTTATCTCCTTCATCCGCTGGTCCTCCTGATCATCTTCCTCGATCTGTTCGATGGACCGCTAAGAGTAGCAGCGGAGGCGCTTCGTCGTCCCCTGCAGCTTCTGAGGCAGGCGCGCACACTGACGGTGGCGAGAGCTCTTCCGGTGAATACAATTCTTCTCGCGTATGTGATTCCGACGCCGCGGGAAGCGATAGTAGTTCTCCGGAGTTGAGTCGTGCCAAGAACAAGTTCGGAATGCCATCCGGTCCTCTATCGGACGCTGAGCTGGCGGCCTTGCCGCCTACCACTGTTCCCCGATCGGAATTTATCGCGATCGTCGTAGCTTTCGCGGCCACGACATCGTCCCCTGGTCTGCACAGGATATTCGTCAGACCAGCATCGTGGAGATGGACGCGGATCTGCTGTTTCACCACTACACCAAGCCTATGGAATGGCTAATCCCTCTTCGCGACCCCGTGCCTCAGTCCGGAGAATGGCGAGACGATCCGGTGGACGAGAACAACGTACGCGACTTGATCGAATCTGCTCCGTGGAAGATCCTTGCGGCCCCGGTGAGCTCTCTCACGTTCAAAGGTCGGGGTGGTCCCGGCACATGTTGCGTTTTACGCTTCTTACGAAGATGAACATCTTCGGGCTTATTGGGACTCCACCCACGCCTTTCCGGTGAGCATCGCCAAGCGTCGCGCCAGTCGGTACTTGGACGCGTTCTATACTGATCGCAAGAAGCGTCAATCCAGAGCTGGCGCCCGGTGGGAGTCATTTCTTCAACGGGTGCTGATCGGCTTGGTCCGGGGTTACTACGACCTTGACTTGTTGCTGGATCCCTTCTTCCTGCATTTCCCTCGACCCGGCGAGGCAGGTGCTTGGTATCCTGGGATCGAGTACGGTGCAGATCCTGCCGATCTACTGGAGGCGTTGACCATTACGGACGGGGCCGATCGTTGGCGCAACCACTATCACGACGAGCCAGAAAATCACCCGGCGCTTCGGATCGCTCGTTTGTATGGTAAGTTGGTGCCCTCCTCTTCCTGATCGCGTCAATCCGTTATGTATTAGCTACCAACTTGTACGTTTCAGCTCTCGTCGAGAAGGTCCGTCCGATCTAATCCGACTTAATCCATGCATATCTTCTTCCATTCTTCCGGAATTCTTGAGGGTATGTTGCCTGGGTTTT